TGTATATGATTTTATTTTTTGTTTGGTCTTTGATCCATTTAGAATTTATTTGTTCTTTTGTGCATGTAATGTGGCAAATGGTTTCTCATTTTAGTATATGCAGATGAATAGCCAATAATCTCAACATCATATTAAATAATCTTCCCCCCACTGATATGAAATGCTATTTCTATGAGCTACTAAAGTTTTATATGTACACTATTATAAGGGTGATAAATACCATATGGTAAATAAAATACCTTAGAATTCAAATCTAGGGTCAGCTTTATGGTCTTGTGGTAAAGGAAGCAGTATCCCACACAGCTGACTGCCCAGTTTGAGTCCCAGCTCTGGCAGATTGAAAAACACTCCAGGCATGTGTATGTGCATGCTAATAATCCCAACAGGATGGAGAAATGGAGAAGAAATTGCAGTGTGACCATGTTCTATGAGAAGTGCTGCTTCCTCTCCCTCTCTCTGTCTCTTTCTGGTGAGCGTACACAGCTTCTGACAAATTAAAAAAAAAATTCTTCAAGCCTAAGAGGGTACAATTACTGCGAGAACAAATTTCAATACCAAGACAAATGTTTATACATAAGTAGAAAAATATATCTGCATTTAACTATCCAGTAGAGACTGGGGGAGGGGAGTCAAATGCAATGGATGATATCATAAGGAGTGGTGGAATTCTATTTAGAACTTCAGAGGCCTACACTCTGATCAGGTTCTGCTGAAGAAGCTTTTATTAGATTTCCTAGTGTACAATTTTCAGGTAAGTGGCTTCCCACTAGATGTGCATCTTTTTACACCCTATCAAAGAGTAGATGAATATTTATCTGTCATGAATGTCTTAAGTAACAGAAAACCCAAGTTATAATGGCTTAGATAGTTTTTTTGTTTTGTTTTGTTTTGTTTGTTTGTTTTTGTTTTTTTTTCTCATATCAAGCAGTCTAGAGGTGGACAGATACAGGTGTAAGTTTAGCAGCTTAAAGTTATCAGTCAGAACATGCATCATTTTCTTGGCCTTTTTGTCATGGAAATGGCATCATGGTCACAAGATAGCTGCCCTGATTTCTGACAATGTTCCTTAAGTGATATTCAAAGCAATACAAAGGGAGTATTGTTGAACCATCTCTTTTATCAAGACAGCAAAAGCCTTCCCAAAAGTTACCCATTTGATTGCCTACCTATGGGCCACCTATGGTGGCATGGTGGTCAAGGCAACTGAATCCCACATGAATGATTTGAGTCCCAGACCTGGTGGCTTGAAAAAAACACCAGCTGCATGTTTGTGTGTGCCCAAAATACTGAAAGGAGAATAAAGGAGAAGGGATTATGGTATGGTCATCTTCGGGGGGTGGGAGGGAGCTGATTTCTCTCTCTCTCTCTCAATTAAAAAAAAAAAAAGACTGCTTACCTGCAAGGATGGCTGGAAAAAGGAGAATTCAGATTTTCCTGCCTCTCTAGTTGGCTGTAGCAAATGAATAAAGGGTGGGAATTACAGTTAAGTCATACAAGGAACAATATCTGCCAACATTCAACATTCATTCATTAAAAAATAATTACTGAGCACCTGAACACCCTGTGTGCCTTGTACTGTTCAGCACTGAACAAAACAGACAAAAATCCCTATACTCATTGAGCTTACATTATAGTCAGGAGAGACATATAATAAAATAAAATAAACAAGTAAAAAAATACTAGATTCCAATGAGGTTTATAGAGAAAAATCAAATTGTTGAGGCAATTAGGAAACTTGTGGGAAAGTGGTAAGACATTAATAAAAGGATTTCAGGAAAATCCTCATCGGGAAGATAAAATTTGAGGAAGTGAGGAAATAAGTCATGGGAATATTGAGGGGAAAAGCATCCCTAGGAAAGGGAATATAGCAAGTGAAAAAGCACCAAGGTGGGAACATGATGAGTTTGTTCAAGAGGAAAAGACTCAGAGTGGTCAAAAGGACACTAGTAGGATGAGATCAGAGAAGTAACCAGGACATAATCTGACCTACAACTTAACAAGATCTCTTTGGCTGCTCAGTGGAGAAAAGACTGGAGTGAGGCAAGGACAAAGATGATGGTGGGTAGCAGTGGAGATGATGGGAAGGGCAGGATTCTGCATACTTTTTTTTTGGGGGGGGGAGAGGTTTTTGCTATAGGGCGCGTGTGCTCGCCAGAAAGACAGAGAGACAGAAAGTGAGAAATCACCCCCCAGTGGGGATGGCCATGCCGCAATCCCTTCTCTTCCATTCTCCTCTCAGGATCTTGGGCACGCACGCACACACGCCCGGCGTGAGTTTAAGCCACCGGGTCTGGGACTCAAACCGCGGTTGACTACGTGGGAGTCCAGCGACATAGTCATTACGCTAACTGCTGGTCCCTGCATACATTTTAAATGTAAATAATCAGACTAGATTTTGCTGATGAAAAAGTGAAGGCTCAAAGATGATGCCATAAGTTTTGGTCCAAACAACTAAAAGAGTTTGTATAAATTGAGTTTGGGATGATTGAAGAGGGAATCAGTCATGTGAGGGTATGGCAAGTATATGACCTGATAGAATAGTAAGGTTTTGTTTTGGTTTTTGGAGCAGGGATACATTGTGCTTTGGAAACAGACTATACTTGAGATTTCCCTGTGTCAGTGAATTACCCTTGTATTTATGATTGGTGAGAATCTTTTTGCAATAAGAACCAAACAACTATCCTTTTTTTTATTCTTTTTTTTTAGAGAGATTTTTGCTATAGGGCTCGTACACTCACCCAGAGACAGAGAGAGACAGAAAGACAGAAAGTGAAAAATCACCCCCCACCAGGGTAGATGGCCATGCTGCAATCCCTTCTCTTCCCTTCTCCTCTCTTCTTCTCTTAGGATTTTGGGCACACACACACACACACACACATCCCTACATGCCCGGCGTGAGCTTTAAACCACCAGATGCAGGATTCAAACCACGGTCGACTATCTGGGAGTCCAGCAACATAACCATTATGCCATTCACTGGTCCCTTATTTTAATTTACTTTATACATTCAATCCCTATACATTACTTAGCTTGCAAAGTGAATTTACCCAACATGAGTACACTTGACCCCAGTCCAGTTGAGGATATAATACACATTATCATCAAGAGATAATAATCCATTTCTGTGTTCCATAAATGTCTTGCCTCTGTATTTTTCTCCTTAATTTCTTTCCTCACACTGTTCACCTTCTTCCCACACTGTCTCCATTATCCATAATCATTTTCCATGCTTCTATATCCTCTAAATTTCCAGTTTCTGCCACAGAGTGCAAACAGTCAGTATTTGTTAAGCGGAGACATACAATGTCTCTCTTTCATAGCCTGGCTTGCTTCACTCAGTGGTAAATTTTCCAGATTCATCCATTTTCTGTCAAATACCAGTATCTTGTTATTTCTTTATGGCTGAGTATATTCCATAGAGTATATGTGCCACATTTTTTCAATCCATTCATCTGTTTGTGGATGGATGGCTTGGTTCCATATCTTAACAATTGTGAATAATGCCACAATAAATATAGATGTGTAAGCACTTTTCTGACTGAGCATTCTCTTATCCTTTGGATAGATATCCAGAAGTGGAACTGCTGGATCATATGGTAGTTCTATTTGTAGATCTTTGAGGAAACTCCATATTGTTCTCCACAGTGACTGGACCAATTTAAATTCCCACCAGCAGTGTAGGAGCATTTCCCTTTCACCACAGCCGAGCCAGCACTTTATTATTATTATTATTATTATTCATCTTAGCCCATACCACCTAACCCCTGTCAGAACGGAGTTAGGTGGTATCTCATTGTGGTTTTGATTTGCATCTCCCTTATGATGAGGGATTTTTAGCATTTTTTCATATTCTTTTTAGCTGTTCATATGCCTTCCTTAAAGAGTTGTCTGTTCAGCTCATTTCCCATCTTTTTAATTCGGTTGATTATTTTTTTGGGGGGTATACCACTGGATTTCCCTGTGTGTTCTGGTTATGGGTCCCTTATCTGAGGCATAGTTTACAAAAATATTCTCCCATTCTGAGGGTTGTCAAATCACACTAACCACTGTGTCTTTCGCTGTATGGAAACTTCTTAATCTGATGTAATTGGATTTGTCTACCATTGGGATTATAGCCTGTGCTTTAATTGAGAGTCTTTTTAATTAATTTATTTATTTTATTTATTTATTTTTTAGAGAGGTTTTTGCTATGGGGTGTGTGCGCTTGCCAGAAAGAGAGAGAGACAGAAAGCAAGACATCATCTCTCATGGGTGGTGGCCATGCCGCAATCCCTTTTCCTCCATTGTCCTCTCGGGATCTTGGGCACACATGCACACACGCCCACTGTGAGTTTAAGCCACTGGCTCTGGAACTTGAACTGTGGCTGACTACATGGGAGTCCAGCGACACAGTCATTATGCCAACTGCTTGTCCCAGGGAGTCTTATTTAATAAGTCTTTGCCTACCCCAGTGTTTCCCAGGGTTTCTCCAGTGTTTTCCAGCAGTAGTTTTAGAATTTGAGATCTTAGGTTCAGATCTTTAGTCCATTTTGAGTTGATTTTTGTTAATGGTGAAAGATAAAGATCCAGTTTCATCTTTCTGCAAGTGGATACCCAATTTTTCCAGCACCATTTGCTAAAGAGGTTTCCTTTTACCTACTGGATTGACTGGTGCCCTTTATCAAAAATCAGTTGGCTGTATGTTGTGGGGTTTATTTCCGGGATCTCTACTCTATTCTATTGTTCTACCTGTTTGTTTTTGTGCCAGTACCATGATGTTTTGATTATCACAGCTTTGTGATATAGTTTGGGGGTCAAGGAGTGAGATGCTGCCTACTCCATTCTTCTTGCGCAGGAGTGCTTTAGCAATACAGGGTCTTTTATGAGTCCAGACAAATTTTGATTCTCTTTTCTAGATCTGTGAAGAATATTTCTGGTAATTTGATTGGGACTGCATTAACACTATACCAAACTACTATTTTCTAGCTTTTTAGATAATCCTGCTGTGAAAAGATCCGAAGACAAAGAAATCTCCCCTCAGCAGATCAACCACAGCTAGGTGGTCCGAAGAGAGTCCATGGAATCCCAGAAGCTGCTAGGCATTGGATTTTTGCTATGCTCTCTTATTTGCCTCTTCTTGGAGACCATAACTTCCTCTCCTTTACCTTTATCTGCCTTTGAAATACAAGACAAAGTAGGATCAAAACCAAGTTCCAGGGGTGTGTTTGCTGTTAGGATGTATGTTCTTTTCTTCATAAGGTTCATGTGTCAGGTTAGGAAAAACAGATTTCATGTTTAAAAGTTATGTTCACAGGGAAATTAACTATTCTGGCTTGGTTCAATGTAGTTCAACAAGCATTAACCTACCTGCTATGTAACAAGTCCTTTGTGGAACTGTATGGATTAGGAGTTGAACAGTCCCTGTTACCAAGGAGCTCACAGATGGGCAGAAAAATCTTTCCTCCTCCACTTTCTGAGGAAAAGACCCAACATCTCCAGCCTTACCTTGATCAGCAGACTCCCCATCACCACCACTACCACTCCCCCGCCCCAAAGTGCCAGGTGTCCTGACCTCATTCTTGTCTGAGCATAGAGCTGATGGCCTTCTTTTTCTCCTGGAGCACTCACTCCCCTCAACCTCCTGCATAACTCCCAGACATATTATAAGCAACAGCACTTTAATAAAACATTTCTTGTTAATTGGTTCATACTCCTCTTTCACAAAGTATCCCATATACTCAAAACAGCCCTTAATGTATCTGGGGCAGAGATTATTGCTCCTATTTGATTTGTGGGGAGGTGAAAATAATAACCACCTAAAATGTCTTTTTTAAAAAATGTATACCCTTTGGGAACCAGCAGTTAGCATAATGGCTATGTTGCTGGACTCCCACGTAGTCGACGGCGGTTCGCGTCCCGGACCCAGTGGCTTAAAACTCACTCCGGGCACGTGTGCGTGCGTGCCCAAGATCCCGAGAGGAGAATGGAGGAGAAGGGATTGCGGCGTGGCCATCCCACCTGGGGGGTGATTTCTTGCTTTCTGTCTCTCTGTCTCTCTCTGTCTGTCTGGTGAGCACGTGCACCCTATAGCAAAAAACTCTCAAAAAAAAAAAAAAAGGTATACCCCTTAAACGTCTTAGAGGCAGCACAGCAAAGTATTTTAGCAAATGAGCAGTTGTAAGAATAGGATATCTGGGGCAACTATTTGAAATTGAACTCAGAGTCAAATTCCAATTCCATCATTTACTAGACCTCTATTCAGTGAATGTATATGATCTTTCTACAGGTAACTACAGATCCTGGCTGATCAATTTTAGAGATTATGTTTGGGAACTCATTAAGAACACCATGCCTCCAGCAGCCATTTTGGCTTTTCTTCTCGCTACAGCAGTGCTGGGGACCCTCTGCTGCCTCACGTAAGTTCCTATGGGAGGAAGAAAGGGAGGAGGGAGCACACTGGGGGAAGGGGCAGAAACATTAAATTCCTCACCAATCTGTATATCTGTGAGTAGGGGAAGTTTTAAGGAAGGCAAAACTGAAAGCAAAACTCTGAAAGGTCATGCAACCCTTTTAAAAAAGTCTCCCATGGCACGGGATCCCACATGGCTGACAGCTTTGAGTGCCAGACCTGCCAGACCATTCCTCATTCCAAATGGGAACGTTTGGCTTGAGAAACACACCCAGCATATGTGTGTGTGTGTGTATGTGTGTGTGTGTATGTGTGCCCCAAATCTCAACAAGTGGGAGGAATGAAGGAAAAGGGATTGCAGTGTGCTCATCGCCCCTTGGTGGAGAGTGATTTCTTCCTTTTCCTTTCTCACCCTCTCTGTGGCAAAAAAAAATTTCTAAAGCTTCCTCTACTTTCTCTTTTTTCCCTCTAACCTGTCCCATCCATTACCAACACTGACCAGTGCAATTTAATAACCAGTGCTTGCAACTGATCATTTCTTTTATTAACTTCATTAACTCCTAATTTTTGTTCCATTTGGCTCAGGACCTACACATGGAAAAATACAATTAATTATATTCTCAATTGTCTGAAAATTTACCAAAAATATTTAGCTATATAAATCATGTGAAGTCAAAGGGATAACTGAGGGGGAAAAATAGTTAAGCTAAATTTGGTTAGTTCAGTTGATATTTATCAAAAGATGACTACCTGCCTGTCTCTAGAGAGACAGAAATAACAATTAAATTGGTAGGTCAGTACTATGGTGGGAATCAGAGTCTGAGTGAATGGCAAAGGTATTAAAAGAGATAAGGTCAAGGAGTAGTTGGCTAGTTTTCAGGAAGAAATGAAAGGGGAAAGAGAGTAGAAATGTGGGGTCCTGCAGGGTTAAAAAAGCCAGACTGCTTCTAAATTCCCAATGTGTGGGCCTATTCTAACTACACTATCTAATAAAGCACCTAAGGACAAAGATCAGATTAAAGGTACAACAGGAACCTGTGGTTCCTAATAACCTTGGCATGATTTTAGGAGCAAGAACTGTGTCTAGGAACACCTTAGGTATGTTTACTGGTACACAACTGATTAGAAGTCAGCTAAGCTTTTGAGAGAAGCCTATTGCTGAAGAAATCATCAGTTAGAACTAAGTGAGTCATTTTTTTTTAGAGGTTTTTGCTATAGGGTGCGTGTGCTCGCCAGACAGACAGAGACAGAGAAAAAGAAAGCGAGAAATCATCCCCCAGGGGGGATGGCCATGCCACAATCCCTTCTCCTCCATTCTCCTCTCGGGATCTTGGGCATGCACGCACACGCGCCCGGCGTGAGTTTTAAGCCACCAGGTCCAGGACGCGAACCGCGGTTGACTACGTGGGAGTCCAGGGACATAGCCATTACGCTAACTGCTGGTTCCGAGTCATTGTTTTAAACAGTATGAGAAGGACACAAGCTTTAAAGGCCCTTAGGAGGGCATGCTCCCCAACACTTACTTCATAGAGTAATGCAACCATGGAGTCCATAGGGCATTATGAAACAGAAGAGCTCCCTAGAGGGTGATGCTAGACCTGGATCCTAGAAAGCAGGATGAGGCCTAATCAATGTCTGGCCAGGAGGATTCCAGGACCATTGCTGTGCATCACCCATTCTTCCTCATTCTGAATGGGAATGTTTGCAATGGTTATCCTTTTCCTGCTCCATCGTTGCTATGGGGTGTGGAGATCAGGAACAGATAGCTTGTTTCAGTTCATGGGTCACCTAACCAAGAATAGCCATACCTAGACTTGAGAGAAACAAACATCACCCAGATACTATGGACTTTGAGCTGGACCCAGTAATGAATGGGATTTCAGTCTTGGGGAAAGGGTATGCCATAGGTCAGGTGTTCTGGAAGCAAACAGAGAAACAGTAGCTAGGCATTCAAGATATTACATTAGGGATCAATGCCTGTGGAAGATAGGGGGAAGAAGGGAATAGTTGAACTATTTTGCAAGGCCCTTGCCTAACAAAGGCTCAAGGATGAATCTGAGTGATGTGTTTCCATGAGCACTACAGAATGGATGAAAAGAAAGTGAACAGGGAACCAGCATTTTGTGTAATGGCTATGTCGCTGAACTCCCATGTAGTTGACCACAGTTTGAGTCCCAGACCTGGTAGCTTAAACTCACGCCGGGTGCGTGTGCATGCATGCCCAAGATCCCAAGAGGAGAAGGGATTGCGGCGTAGCCATTCCCCCTGGGGGGTGATTTCTCGCTTTCTGTCTCTCTGTCACTCTCTGTCTTTCTGGCAAGCGCATGTGCCCAATAGCAAAAACCTCTCCAAAAAGAAAAAAAGAAAGTGAACAGAAAAACAATGACAGAGATGGGTTATATGTTCACCAATCTCATTCCTTCATCCCATCAGGTAGGTTGGGACCATGAGACCAAGATTTGAGTGAAATGTGCACAAAAGTAATGTACAATACTTCTGGGTCTGAACATAAAATGTCCCTGAATGATTTCATGGAGAACTTTACCTACATCAGAATAACCACATGAATAAGGGATAAGCTTTTATTGTGTTAACCTACTAAAATCTCAGGATTGTTTGTCAAACCCTGCTAGCAGGCCAGTTGCATCAGAAGACCTGAAATTTCAGAAGCATTAGTTAAACATGTGACACTCAGAGGGACTCCTGTGAAGATAAACCAGGTACTTTGCCAAGAGAAATAATTCCTTTGAAGTAGATGACTCAACCTGAAGAGAAGAACCAGTAAACCCTTGCTGGGAAAAACAAGCTGTCTGATTTGTGAAGGAAACTTCTCTGGAACCAAGTAGGCACCAAATAGAAACCTAAAAGGGAGGTTGAATGCCAAACACACAGATGAGCCATATTTTCAAGAAGCAGTCCGCTAGTGATGCCAAAGGGAAAGTGTGAAATTTTATTAACTGAGATCTACATCTGGTTCCCTATAGCACAAGAGCTGACCAGTAAGTAATACATACATCTCAGCATCATGAAAAGAACTGGCTACTCTCAAATGTACCATTTGTGTCTGCTTTTGAAAATCTTCTATAAATAAATGGTCCAATAAGAGTCCATCTCAGTCAATGGGGACCAGCATCGAATCTATACAATCTATACAATCACATGGAAACATTCATGAAATATTCTTAGTGTAAAAGTGGATATCAAGGGATATTTGGCTTGGTAAAATTGTTATTAAAAACCAAATGGGGGCCAGCGGGTGGTGTGGTTAAGGGCGCCGAACTCCCACATGGCTGATTGCAGTGGACCTGGAAGCTTGTTTTCTCACTCTCTCTCTCTCTCTCTCTCTCTCTCTGTTGCTCTCCACCACCACCACCACCACCTCTCTGGTCAAATTAAAATGAATGAATGAATGAATAAAAAGTTTAAAAATAAAATCATTCTTTTTTAAAAAGTACAAGAAAAAGCCTCTAAGGACCTAACTACAGTATTAGGTGGTGATTGTCTCCTTGTTGGAGTAAATAGGTCATTTTAATTCTTCTAGCTGTTTTTTTTTCTTTTTTTAGAGAGATTTTTGCTACAGGTCATGTGCACTCGCTGGAGAGACAGAGACAGAAAACAAGAAATCACCCCCAAGGGGGATGGCCATGCTGCAATCTCTTTTCCTCAATTCTCCTCTTGGGATTTTCGGCATGCATGCACACACGCCCTGCATGAGTCTAAAGCTGCTGGGTCTGGGACTTGAACCACGGTTGACCACGTGGGAGTCCAGTGACATAACCATTACACCATTTGCTGGACCCTATTATTATTACTTTTAAAATTTGCTGTAGGGCACATGCACTCACCAAAGAGAGACAGACAAAGAAAAAGTGAGAAAGCAAGTTGCCAGGTCTGTGACTCAAACAGCCATTGGCCATGTGGGAGTGCCACAACCATCACACTACCCACTGGCCCCAAAACCCTTTTCTATAGCTATTAAAGCATTTTGTCCATATGAAATCATTCAGCTCATATTAAGAGAAGTAGCTGTCTTAAATAGAATCTTGGAAAACGTTATAGAATTGTATAGTGGCTCTACACAGACCAGGAAAGTATGTAGGGGTTTAAACTTAGTTCAGCAGGGGCTGGAAGGTGGCATGGTGGTTGAGGGTGCTGGACTCCCACATGACTGACTATGGTTCAAGTCCCAGATCTGGCAGCTTCCTTTCTCACTCTCTCTCACTCTGTCCCTCTCTGGCCAAATTTAAATACATAAATAAAATTAAATCATTCTTAAAAAAAAAAAACTTAGTTCAACATTCACCATCTTATCTTTCTTTCCCAGCATTCTTATAGGTGAACCTATCCACTGAAGAACTAGAACATTCACAGGACGAGTGCGCTGGTTGGCTTGCTGGAGTCCAAAAGAGTGGAGTATGCTATAATATTTGTTTAAAATGAGGAAGTATCTACCAATTAAAATTAATGACCTTCCATCATAATTTATCTTTGTCTTCATTTTCTCCTTCAAAAGATGCATTTGAGAAATGTGAATGGACTTATTACTGTTTTGATTATAAAAATAATATATATTTATTACAAAAAATGTTCAGAAAACACAGAAAGAAGTACCCATAATTCTAGCACTTGGTAATAAACACTGTTAACATGTTGGTCTATCTCCTTTCAAAATTTTCCTGTATAAATATTACCAGTTTCCCAGTCTGTTCTGTGAAACAGTAGTTCTGTTTCCATAAATGTCATGAAATAATAGGGCTCTGTTGTCAATTAAGTTCAAGTGATGTGGATTAAACAAATTTAAAAATGGGGCCAGCTCTATAACCTAGTGCTTAAGGGAGACAGACCCTACGTGGTTAACTGCACAGTTCAAATCCTGGTCTTGGCAGCTTGAAAAGCATGGCATGCACATGTGCATACATGCCTAAGATCGCAACGGGATGGAGAAATGCAGGAGAAGGAATTGTGACATGACCATGCCTCACTGGGGGATCCTTTTGTTCTCTTTATCTCTCTCTCTCTCTCTGTCTCTCTCTCATGCCAGCATGCATAACTTCTGATAATTACCAAAAAAAAAAAAAGTTCCTTTGCCCTGGGAACCCTTAATAGACAAATATGACTCTCCATAGGAGAGTATAATATGCAGCATTTTCCAAGTTAATTTGAACATGGGATTTTTCTTTGAATGTTTTGTGCACTTGCCAGAGAAAGAAAGAGAGACAAAGAATGCAAAAGAATGGCCCCACCATGGGATGTGATCGCATTGGAATCTCTTCTCCATTTCTCCATCCTTTTAGGATTTGGGGCAGGCACACACCCAGTGTGTTTCTCAAGCTGCCAGTTCAGGAATTGAACCACATTGTCAGTCATATGAGATCCAGTTCCGTTAACCACCAGGCCACAGGATGGCCTGAACACAGGATTTTATGTTTAGTAGTAGATACAATTTAAGTCATTTAACTGCCTCCCTATATAATAATTAAAGTGTTTCTATTTATTTACTATTATAAATATAATGCAGATAATAGTTTTAAAAATTATTAATTTGTTTTTCTTTCACTGTCCTTGGTTCAAAATCCTTTATTCAATGGACACTTATTGGTCACCCACTCTGAATCATGTACTGTTCTGGGCAGACACAAAACAGACACTAATCCCAGCTCACACTAGTGGAAGTATACAGGTCCTTCAAAGGGCAGCAACAATAGGTGCTTCAGGCAGAAGGCACATGTGCAAAGGTGCAGGAATAAGAACATCCTTGGTATGTTTGAGTGGCGGCAGCAACAACAAAAACAAAACAAAACCAGGAAGAGCATAATAGGACTTTGTGAGCCATTGGGGGATAAAAATGGATCTTCCTGAAGACATTAGGGGAGCTAGCAAAAGGTTAAGATCAAAGGAAGGAGGTGATTTGCTATATATTTTCAAGGGACCATCACAGCTGCCATGTTGAGAATATAGGGGAACAATGGCAAAATCAAGGAGACTCAAGCTGGTGGGCAATGGGGAGATAGGGAGACAGCAGAGGTGTAGGAAGGTGTCAGATTCTGGAGATACTGTGAAGGTAGAGCAGATGGGATTTGATTATGGGTTGGATGGACTGACTCTTTCATCTTTATAAAATGACCTTCTTGTGTTTTATGACAGATTTTGACTGAAAGTCTATATGGTCAGATATAAATCTAGCCACTCCTGCTCTCTTTTGGTTACCGTTTGCATGACTATGCTGAGAGTAGATCTCGATTGTTCTCCAAGCACATGGGCACATGCAATGGTAACAATTTACTTACTATGGCCATAGCCTGTAGTCCCACAATTTCAAGTTAGCAATTTATATTAAGGACTGAATTAGATGATTTAAGTTTGGTAACTAACTTGATTGTGGTAATCACTTCATGTTGTATACGTATATCAATCATCATGTTGGGGGTAACTAAGCACGTTGCTCAAACCAAAAGATGATGTCTGCATTACAGGGCAACAAGGGATAAGACCAGGGAACAGGAGACATCCCTGTGGACATCAGTGGATGCTAGCTCACACTTGGAAGCTGAGGTGAGCCAATTCCCCCCATAGTATAGTATAAGCCACACATCCTTTGTCCCATACACCCACATATCAGAGGAGACGATCATTCTCATCAAAGACTACCTGCAGTGACTATATCAGTTTACACTAAGTTTTAAATCAGATCAACGTTAAATTTTTTCCCACTAACCAGCAGGAGGGAGGTTAAGAGGAAGTTAGTAATTTATGATAAAAGAGTACAAATTTATACTCTTCTTGCCCTTCCACATCACCAGCCCCACCTCATTCTTCAAAGTGACCCCTATCTTGTCTTCTAATACCATTCATAACCTTGGCTGTTTTTCAACTTTATAAGCTAAGATCTATATATGTATTCTGCAATTTTTTTCACTTGCATATATCTTGAGATTCATCCATGTTGATGCTTGTAGTTAGCCCATTCTCACTCATTCTGTAATAAAGAAGAAATTCTAGTCATTTAAATTGTCAGCCATAGAAGAATATCTCCATTGGTTTCTGAGCTCTTTTCTACGTATACAGGTTTCACCAAAGAACATATCCTCTGGGGACCAGCAGATGGTTACATCACTGCACTCCCACATAGTTAGCCACAGTTCAAGTCCTGCACCCAGTGGCTTAAAACACACCAGGCGTGCCCATGATCCCAAGAAGAGAATGAAGAAGAAGGGATTGTGGCATGCCCATTCCCCCAGGAGGTGACTTCTTGCTTTCTGTCTTTCTGGCAAGCACACGCACCCTATAGCAAAAAAACTCTCAAGAAAAAAAAAAAAGAACATACCCTATGATGAATAGCTGGATTCAAGTGGTAAGCAAAAGCTTGACTTTATAACACAATGTCAGCTTAACAAAGCCATCACACCAATTTACACCTCTGCCAGCAGTGAGTAATGTCTCCATTGTCCTACATCTTTGCTAGCATGCACTGTCATCAATCTGGATGAGAAACTGTATCCACTGTTGTCTTAATTTGTATTTCTCTGATAACTGATGAGGTTGATAACATTTCATGTGTTTATACATCTTTTGTCTTTCTCTTCTCTAAAATTCTCATTAATTAATTTTGCCCATTTTTCTAATTAGTAGCTTTGTTCATTCCTTATTGCTTAGTAGGAATTCTTTATTTATTTTTATACTAATCTTTTATTGACTGTGTATATAGATAATAACTTTCCCCAGTTTGAGGATTGTATATCCACTCTTGATATGATATATTTTGATGAGTGGAAGTACTTACTTTTTTTTTTCATTTGCCCAAGAGTGTATGTTCACCAGAGAGAGGGAGAGGAAGAGGGAGAAAGCACTCCCCCATGGGGCCTAGTGATGCGTTCTCCTTTATTTCTCCCTCCTTTTGGGATTTTGAGCACAAACACACATGCTCCTAGTATATTTTTAAGAAATATTTATTTATTTAATTTTACTTATTATTTTTTAATTTGATGAGAGAAGAAGAGAGAGGAAGAGAGAAAGAATGAGAGGGAGCAAGCCGCCAGGTCCAAGACTTGAACCATGGTAGGCCATGTGGGAGTCCAGCACCTCAACCACCACGCCACCTGCCAGCCCCAACACCTAGTGTATTTTTAAAGTCACTGGGTCTAGGACTCGAACCACATAGCCATGTGTGATTCAACTCACTTAACCAAAAGGCCATGGACTGGCCCCACAAGTATTTATTTTAATGTAATGAAATTTAGCAACCATTTTCCTATATGTTAGTGTTTTGGGTGTCTATGAAATCCTTTCCTATTCAAAAGTCATAAAGAATTCTCCTACATTGTCTTCTAAAAGTTTTATAGTTTTACTTTTCACATTTATGTCCTTAAGCTACTTGGAATTCACTTTCTCTATGGTGTGAGGTAGCATTTGATTTCATTTGATTTCATTTTTTTCATAGTGCAAAAAGCTCTGATTTTCCACTCATGAACTTTGAACTGAACATCTGTACCTAAGGAAATTCTAGGAATTGAGAAAAGAAGGTAGTTGCAACCGGTTCTGGGAAGCAATAAATTCCAAGGATTAAAATCAGATTCCGAACAATGACCACCTTGAACTGGAGCAGGCCAGCCATAAAAAAGCATGGGAATATTGAAAAAAGCCAAGCTGTACGGCCATCCATGCTTTGAGTCAGCTGACTTACTTTCCCAGTACTTTTCCACTCCAACTGTGGCCTTGCTAAGATCTTGAACTAACTACATTTTGCTCAAGGAGCCAATCTCTCTTCAGTTTTCCCAACTATACTGGTTTGGATGAAGTGCTTATCTTCATTTCTAACTAAGTAGTCTTAGTGGTATGGATACCCAGTATGTCCAGTAACTACTTAGTGAAAATCTGCCATGTTATCAAGTGACTAAAATATGGAGAAATCTGCTTCTAGCCTCTCTTTTTCATGTGTTCCATTGGTCTGCCATCTTTCTTCTTTTAGAGTTCTTTGCATGAGAGTCCAAAATCTGACTGGCTAGATGACTGGAGGATGGGGATTACAGTGTGACCAGACCATGTGGAAGGTATTCCTCTCTCTCCCATTCTCACAAACTAGGTACAGAAGGAGCCACATTAACCTGATTTTTAAAAAGTTATTTTTAGGAGCCAGCAGGTGGTGTGGTGGTTAAGGACGCTGGACTCCTACATGGCCGACCGCAGTTTGAGTCCCGGACCTGGCCGCTTTCTTTCTCTCTCTCTCTCTGTCCCTCTCTGGTCAAATTAAAAGAAATAAATAAATAAATGAAGTTAAATAAAATATTCCTTTCCCCAAAAAGTTACTTTTAGGGCCTGGTAATGGCAGCATGGGCTGCTAAAGCACTGTTACTCTGAAGACTGGCACTATATGGGAGACTTAGGTTTGGTTTCTGGTCAAACTGTAAAGGCCAGGTGCAGAGATGTGTGTATGAATAATATCAGCAACTCAGGGAAGCTGAGGCAGGCAGATCACAAGCTTAAGGCTGACCTGGGCAGGAAGATCATGACATGGTGAGACTTTAACTAAAACAACAACAATAACAAAAATGACCAGGTTTCACAACCCCAAACTGTTGAGATTTTTAAATCACAATTGCATCGAATCTATAGGTCAATTTTGGAAGAACTGACAAGTTTCTCTCTGGGGAGTGCAAGGGCCCTCTGGCAAATAAAAAAAATAGAGAGAGAGAGAAAATATTTTCTCCCAACTCACATCTGGTCTTTTTTTGTTCTTTATGGTGTCTTTTGATAAGTAACAGTTCTTCATCTTAATAAAGTCAAATTTATCACTATTTTACTTTACAGTCAATGATTTGTCTGCATTGCCTAAGGAATCTTTATCCCAAAGTCTAAATGTTCTTTGCCTATGTTTTCTGTCAAGGGCTTTCTCTCTTTCACTCTCTCTCTCTTTTTCTTAGGTCTTTGCTATAGGGCATGTGTGCTTGCCAGAGAGATACAGAGACATAGAGAGGAAAAGTGAGAAATTACCCCTCAGGAGGACAACCATACTGAAATCTCTTCTTTCCATTCTCCTCTCAGAATTTTGGGCATACATGCACATGTGCCAGGCATGAGTTTCAAGCCACTGGGTCCAGGACTTGAACCATGGTTGGCCATGTGGGAGTCCAATGCCTTAACCACTATGCATCTGCTAGCCCTAAGACCTTTCTCTTTTTTAATTGCCAGAGGACACATGTGCTTACTAGAGAGAGACAAACAAAGGGAGAAGAAAGTACCTGCCCAATGGGGCATGGTCATCGCACAATTTCTTCTCCATTTCTCCAACGTTTTTAAGTATGTTTTAAAGCTGCTGTGGGGCTAGGATTTAAACTGCAACTGGCCATGTGGGATCTGAGTCCCTTAACCACTAGACCATGGTGCCAGCCCAAGATCTTTAAAGGTATGTTTTTGATATTTAAGTCCTTAATGAGCTGGAATAGATTATTGTTCTTTTGCATATCACATGAAGTCAGATTCCAATTTCATCTTTTCCATTACAATTTGGCATTTTTTCAGTTTCAGTTTGAAAAGTCTCTCTTTTGAACTAACATGTCACCTCCATCACATGCCACAGGTCTACATGCATGGATTTGTTTGGGGGTTTTCTATTCTATGTCACTGCTGGATTAGCCCATTCCTGCAACAAATTACACTCTATCAACTTCAATACCCTCTTCTACAGTTTCTTTAGAGTAATCTTGGGAAAAGGAGCCATCAATCCTGTGAGCTCAACCTTAGTAGAGAAAACTGGGCTCTGCAGCTCTAAGCTCTTACCCTTGGTTTTTCTGCTTTTGGCTAGGAGCTCCTTCCAGAGTTCTGACGGGAGGGAGGTCAGAATAACACTGAGGATTGGGCTAAGGGGCCAGGAGCGTTTTCCATCACTCTGACTGTTGTATTAAAGGGTCCAAGGAGTTAGGAAGCTAAGGAATTCTCTAGGATTCCTAAGGAATGCCTGCTCCCTTGGCTTTCACTGATCCCTAAAAATGTGTAGCATTAACAGTAGGAGATCTGGCCTGAGATAAGTAAAACCTACTTGCTCTTGAAGGCTATTAGGTCTTCCATCATTGAACAACAATGCAAATGATAGGGTACCAGCAGCATAGGTGCCTTAAAGGCATTTTTCGCAACATTCAAACCTCAAGGGGTGCATCGGCCCTGCTGTATCCGCATATATTTATGGATAGATCCTGGAGTTTGTCAACCTCCTATATTCTTCCAGCTGCACTAAGCCGGCCAATTCCAATTTCTCGCGTTTTCCTGACCCTACGAACACCTCCAGGGGTCTTATCAGCTAGAGGGTCAGGGCCTGCGGCCTTGTGGCCCATGTGGGGTGAAGGGGTGGCCTCAGCAGCTGCTTGATGCCTCCTTACCACCCTCACAAATCCAGCCTCGCCACCTAGGGGGCTCAGGCTCACCGGACTTGGGCCAGCGCTTAAGCAGCCAGTGGCTAGGGTTCCCTTTTCCCATTCTTGCCCTTGGAGCCTGCAGAGGCCTCAGCTGGAGCAGCGCCTCCGTCCCGCCCTAAAGGGCCATTTCTCCCAGCGTCTGGCTCTAAGGGGCAGAAGCGTGGGCGGATCCAGGAGGCGGGGCGAGAGCGGGCAGTGGGCGGAGCTCCGCCCCTGCCGCCCGGCGCGCCGCCTGCGGGGTGGTGACTGGCCCAGCAGCGCCGCTTCCCCGCCGCCTCTGCCGCCTCCGTCGCCCCGCAGGCCCCAGGCCCTCACACCCTCAGCTCTGCCTGGTCCGGTGTCCCCTTATCCCGGTTCCTGCGAGATGACGCTCAAGGCAAGCGAGGGCGAGGGTGGGAGCAGCATGCGCACGGCGCTCTCCGACCTGTACCTGGAGCATTTGCTGCAGAAGCGCAGCCGGCCGGAGGTGAGCGGGCCCCAGGGGTTCCCAGGGAGCGCGGCCAGGGCTTGGTTCCGGGCCCTGCCATCTGCTGCAGGACTTACTCAGTCCCAGGCCCTGTCCCCAGGGGGCTTGTGCCTGGGGTAGGGTGTACTATCTTTGGGGAGCCTAGACTCGGGGCGGAGGCAGTGGCAGA